TAGGGTTTAGGGCTTAGGGTATAGATCCCTTAGAGGAGCCCCAATAGAACCCTACCTACGTCCTCACACGCGAGACACCTGCAACGAGGCCATCGACCGCAATAGATGGAGAGCCAGAGCCCACTCCTCAGGCGGCCGGTAAACCCCCTTGGAGGGTTTAGGGTTTAGTTCTCTAAATTGGGGTCCCCTTTGGGGTCCAGTTTAGGAGGGTGCCGTACTATATTGGGCCCTAAAAAGGGACCCTAGTTTAGAGAACTACACAAATGGAGTTAACCCTTTTAGCTTCAGGTTCTAGGGTTCAGGGTCTGGGATGTGGGGTTTGCTGTGATGTTGAGCCGCAGAAATGAAACAACTTTGTCGAGTGCTCGGTTGCTTTGCGACATGCCAGCAATGGCCAAACCACCCAAACCAAATTCTGCACCCAGGATTTTTCGACATGTTGTCGAAGGACGTGCCAGAACAGAGCAAAACAGGGCGAGATGGTCTTTGGTGCCTGCATGTGCCTTCGTAGGCTTTGCCAGCCCAGCACAGGTCTTGCCTTCCCCATTACTGTGGGAGCCGGGCTGACCACTGGGCCAAGGCCTTGAGTTTCGGATTTCATGGTCCAGGACATGGGATTCCCGTCAAGGTCTTTTGCAGGTTTAATTTGAGGATGAGGCTATGACTTCATCAAATCGGATGCAGGGTTAGGGTTAGGTTGAGTTTCGGCTCAGGGTTGAGGCCTGCCGTCACCGAGTGTTTTTGCTTGCTATCCTTTTGCTGCATGCGCTGCGATTGGGTGTAGAGACACTATCTTTTTACGGGCTCCTGTAAGGGTACCATAATGCCACTATAGAGGTGCAAAAACGGTACTCTAAGGCTAAAGGCTACTATCTATGAAGGCTCCTATAAAGGCTACTAGAAAGGGTACTAGCGGTTACTAGCGTTAGGGAGCCTTTGGCCATCTTCAGCTTAATCTCCGGAAGTTCGGAAGCAGCACAATGAAAGGAGCAACAGTAAAAACAGCAGCGAAGGAAGAAGAATAGTAATAGTAATAGTTCTAGTCATGGTCATAGCTCCATTAACAGCGATAGTGATAGTTAGAATACTAGTAATAACAATGATGCACGTAACAGTAGTGGTAGCAGCAGGAGTAGTAGTAGTAGTAGTAAATAGCAATAGCAACAACGGTAAGCAAAAATCGTATTGACAGTACTAGTACTGATAAGGAATGCTTCTTCTTATTGTCATCATCATAAATAATGGCAATAGCAGTGCGTAGTCACGCCCCAAGCATAGAGGTAGCAACAACGACAACACCGACAAGCGCTCTAAACCCTAAACCCTAA